CTGTCACAGACGCTAAAAGCGCTATTGCATACCAAAAATGGTCTTTATGTTACCATTTACCGTGTAGTCTTAAGATCTTCATAAATGTGTTTGCTTTTCTGTATGTAAAACTGAATTCTTAGGAAATCCTTTCTTTCTTTTTTCAGAAAAATGCTGATGTCAGCAATTTTGTTGAGATTCAAGGCCAATTATCTCGAAAAAATTCAAGGCTATCCCACTTTTTCTTTGTGGATTCCAATAGCCCTTGCAAAGATCTACATTTTCCGCGTGGTCCTAATCTGGCGCAAAAACCTTTGTTTTTAGTAGGCACCGTCCTTAATTGCTTTTTTTTCTTTTTTTTGCTACTTCAGGGAAGAAGCTGGGGACACCACCGTGAAAGAGGAAATAACGGAGGTAAGAGCATACTTGGTTTGCAGCCTTATTGCGGTGGAAGTCAAGACACAGAAGAATATGACGGCGAATAACTTTTCGCGGTTCTAGGCCTTCTGCGATCGCTCGGGTACTGGACGTCACCTGCGATTGGTCAATGGTTGTTTTTGGAAACCAGTAACCAATCATTCTCACGCATATTACTCTAACTACAGTACCAGAGATTTTTTAATGTAGAAAGCTGGCGTCCAGGCTCCCAGTAGTTCCAGAGGGTACTCCCATGTATCTTTTTGAACGCAAAATACTTGGCTTTTGTTTTTTCCACCATCCTTCGTACATTCAATGCCGAAAAAAGTACAGCATAGCTACAAAAACACCTAATCCATTCCTCTGACCGTCTGACTGTAAAATGCTTACCGTTTTCTCAGCCTCCAGAGGCCATGTACACTGAAGGGGATGTAAAAGCCTTGAAAGAACAACACGCCGAGGAAATACAACTGCTTCAAGAAGAATATGAGTAAGTGATAAAATCAGGAATGTGTCTTGACTTTTCCCACTTTGCTTTTATGATTTGTGACGAAGGGTTTCCTTATGAAGTAAGCCATGTTCCAACATTTGCCTTTATGTTTGTCTTTACAGGAAAAGGCTGAATGAGCTTGCTCAAGGATTGGGTCCGTACTCACCTGACTTAGAATCTCCTCAAAACTATACTGACGGTAAGCTTGTCTAATTCTGTCGGAATTTGAGCCAGCCTGTATTTTGTGATAGGATTTCCTATAATTTACCTAAGCAACATTGTGACAAGTTGACGTGACTTGCAAGGTTCTCAGTGCTCTTGCCATTTCTGATTCGTTGAATATTACTGCATCTTCGATGGCGGAATGAGCACTGCGGTACGCAGTAATTCTTAGATACCTTGGCATTTCAGCTCTTGCTATTTCGCAAGTGTAGGTAGGTTTCTGCCAATTCCCTGGTTAAAATCTTTAGACTATCTTCAAGGATCTTCAAAAACCTTCATAAAGATCTTCGACGATCCTGTCGGGGATCTTAACAAGATCTTTAAAATTCTTCTCAAGATCTTCAAAGATCCTTAATCTTGTTGTCAGGATCGGTAACGCTCCTTAATCTTCTTGTCAGGATCGGTAAGGATCTTCAAGGATCTTCAAAGATTTTGCTCAAGATCTTACCATGATCTTGTCAGGATATTTCATTCAAGGATCTTTGCAGGATCTTTCAAGAGACCTTCTGAGAATCCTTGAAAGATCTTTAGAAAGTCTTTAAAGATCGTGCAAGATTCTCAAAGGTCCTGTAAGGTTTCTTGCCAGGGTTGCCTCGGGCCGTGTGAACGTGCTGGTCAAGAAGTTGCCAACTGACTGTCTCCTCTTTTTTGTAGCTGCCACGTCACCAATGTTTTTCAGATCTCCTTCCCCGATAAGATCATCGTCACCCGAACAAGGAAAAGCACCGAGACCACCTTCAGAAGCTAGGTAACAAAACTAACAAAACTAACTACGATTAAAACTAACTACGACTGGGTAGGAAGTAGCTTTGAGGCCAGTCCACGTAAGGTATTTGGCTGTTTCCTTTGTCAGCTCAAACTTCAGAAAACCCTCTTACGACAATTCAACTTGGAAGCAGCATAAGGTTTTCATTCTCGGCAATAAACAATTACCGAGTTAGGAAAATTCTTTTATGACCAAAAAATTGCGAATCTCCTTAAAAACACATATGATATCCATAGTTAGGAATTTCTCCCAATTTTGTGAACTATTTTGACACCCTCCATGCCCTTGTAAATTGATCAAAATTGTCGAAATATGGACAGAACAAAAAAGTGGCACACAAGCCGTTAGGCGAGCGTGTCACTGACGTTCTTACCGCATTTTGACGTCCTCTGTGATTTATTTAATAATTAGGTTATGAGCTCGAGATTTATTATGATTATGATTATGATTATGATTAGCTGGCGAGGGTGCAGCCCGAGTCAACTATCACACATAGAAATCAAGATTATCTAATTGCTTTAGTATAAATCTTCTAGTAGTTCAATCAATTAATCTGTTTTTATATTAGAAAACCAGAAAATGTCAGTGACGTCATCTATATGTCTGCCCTCCAATAGATCATAAGTAAGAACCAATAAGAATACGAGAGAAAATGCCAACCAGTGAAACAAGCTGGTTGTGAGTCAGTGCTAGTTCAGGTGCGCGTCTTAAGGCCAGGTTGTTGTAGATTTTGTTAATTATGGTACCTTACGTTTCTCCCCCGTCGGTTATTTGTAGACCTCAGTCCCAGCCTCGGAAACCAAGAACCCGGATACCTAACTTACCAGAATGGGGAAAAGATCTGCCTGAAGATGTAAGTATGAAATCGTTGTTCGACGATGAGATCTGGAGTTGAAAGGTTTTTAATGCTGATAAACTTTACGTTTTCTTTGCTTAAAAGATACAACTCGGTGATTCACCATGTTGTTGTTGTTGTTGTCCGGGTCTTCTCGTTAAAGTAGTTTGTAATGACTGTTTAAAAAAGACCATTCAATTAGAGCTAAACAAAGAACACTTAGCTTCTTTCGGGAATAAACCCAACTGCATTCCAGAACCTGATTTACTGAATTGCTAATAAATCTCTGGCTTCAAGATAACACCAGTTTTCTTCTTGCGAAAGTTACACCTTGTAATTGTTATGTCCTTTTGTTTCAGTTTCTTGTTCGTCTTCATTTGTTCAATGAAAACAGCAGCAAGTATCGTCAGGAACTCGGCGACAAAACACGCAGAGCAGTAAGTCAATACAGTAAAAACCCGCATAAAAGAACACGTGTTTTGGGGTTTCAGGCTGATTTTGTTCTTATATATCAAGTGTTTTCTGCAAAATCAGCCTGAAAATGTTCTTAAGGTGTTCTTAAAACTGTTTCTAAAAATTAAATTTTGCATAGACTACCAACAGATGAAATCAATGTGCAAGCACGTTTCAATTAAGTAATGTATAGCACATATATTGATCTACTCAATACTGTACTTAGTACTGTACCCTAGTAGGTTATTCTAATCTAACTTGCAGCCAATTTTTTTTTTTTTTATATAAGAACAATTTCCATCTTTCAGGCTGAATGTGTTCTTAGTATATGGTACCTTTTTGACCAAATTTCAGCCTGATTGTTCTTAATCCACTTGTTCTTTTATGCGGGTTTTCACTGTATCTTTAGTAAATTACATCGTTCACGATGAATGATGCGTGCCTTACGTTTACTTTGATAGTTAAATGATACAAACAAGAAAACAATTACATGTTCTCCAGGAAAACCCTGAACAGGTTCTGCTTCCCTAGGCATAGGCTACGTAGACATAAGTTATCAAGCAAATAAAATCAAAAGTTGGCATTTGCAATCTTTTAATTTTCACATAATGATAAACATATTTTCTATAAAATTATTGCACCTTTACACGTTGCCGTGTAAAGCTGTAGTGTAAACAGGTGGTGGGAGGGGGGGGGGGGGGGGCAAGTGAAAACCTTCGATGAATGAAACAATTACAGTATATCATGTAAAATTGTTACTCTTTGTGCACAACTTTGGGAAATTCAAAGAGTCATGTTTTGGTTTTCATGTTGAGCCAATGCAAGATTTTTGCAGAGGTTTAGTTGTATCCCGCAAACAAACTTCTCGAATTGCTTTGAACCTCTCTAGCTCCTTTTTGCCCCATCACCACCTCATCAAGCTATCATTTGGATTTCCAGCTTTCATATTCCAACTGTGTCGTCATTTGATCATATTAGCTCAAAAGAACACGAAAGAATATCAGACTTTAAAGGAGCTCAGTCACGGTGTTTTGTCTCTTTTTTTTTGGCCATGTACAAAATCTCCTTTAAGTGGAAGGAAACCTGAAAATAGTAGTTTACTAAAATAGAAAAACATCAAAGAGNCCACGCACAAAATCTCCTTTAAATGGAAGGAAACCTGAAAATAATAGTTTACTAAGAAAGGAAAACATCAGAGAGATAATAATAAACCATAAAGGAACAAGGGTGGTCAAGGATGGCGAAAATTGACACAGATTGCAAACGACGAATTTGAAAATTTTAACTTTTCAAAACGTGCAAACCGTGACTGAGCTCCTTTAAAACGTTGTAAAATATTGTTTTCTTTCATCGTTTACATTTTTTCCCAAACAGATCCAAGAACGGTATGAGCTTCAAATGGCCGTGCAAAACAGACTGGCTCAAGCAGAGGAGGTGCCAGAAGAAGACGCAGGTTTGACACAATTTGATACGCATTGCAAACTGTGCTGTTTAGTTAGTTGTTTTTTTTAAAATAAATTTAACCATTTCCTTGTGTCATATGATGCTCTTTTCAGATGTCTGTCTGCCGGCCGTGTTCATGCCAACGCGCACAGGTCATGTGTACTCGCCCAAGGCTCACTCGTACTTTCACCCACCAGGTATAATCCTTTTTTTCGGGGCGATCACTTAATGGGATTCGACGGGAATACGAAAATATTGTGATATACTGTATATAATTGCGCCATTTTGTTTTCATTGCTACTTTAGAGAAACCATTTGTCTACATGTTAAAATGTCTCTATCTACCCTATGCCTCCTCGTTGTGGAACAATGGATGGCCATTCTCTGTGGGTACCTTCAAACAAGTAGGATAAAACTCACAAATTATTATTTGTCAATTGTTGTTAGGTTCATCTGAAGGCCGACTCACTCAACCTCCTTCGATATTTAAGCTGCCAGCTGTGACACCAGAAGCCGTATCCTTTGATGAACACACCTTAAATTAGCTTGCACGTTAAAACACCAGTCTGTTCACATCGGCTGGTGTCGTTAGCTGGTCACCTCCTTTGTGGAGGTTATGATGAAAGTTCACTGTACGCCTTTACAAAAACAAATCAGTTGATTTTCTTCTACTCCTATCGTGTGTCTTGTGCATATGCTTTTGTCGCCACTGTCCTCTTGACTCTTGTACTTATACTAACGCTTCTGCTTGCACTTATTCATACTTTGCTTACAAAGTATAGCTATCTTAAGAACTAGTATTCTTGTTTGATGAAATTCTTAATAAACATTTACCATTGCACATAGTGGCAGTAGTCACAGGTACACGAAGGTGACCTATCTATTTTTTTTTCCGTTCCATTGGTACTCTCGTACCCATCCTTCCGTTTCTCTAAAATCTGCTTCTGGGCAGAAGATTACCGTCTAGAATATCAACAACATTCACCGATGTTCAAAGAGGGTCATTTCGTTTTGCAAAAAATATTGTTGTAATGCATTGTTTCTTTTTCCTTGACTCTGTTCCAGCAAGTATCTGTTCTTAACCTATTTGAGATGAGTAAAAGATACAACCAAGCAGGAACCCCGTGGTTTGCCAACGATCAAGCAAGACCTCATACAATTGCCAATCCTGAGCAGTCACAAACATCCCCACCCCCACCCACTGCGTGTGACATGTGGTCTCCACCTCCTTACCCAGGCAGAGCACGAACGAGATAGCGTAAAAGAAAATTGGTCATGTAATGTCGTGCAATGTCATGATGTAGTTGTAGTTATTTTGTTTTATTTTTTTTTTTTTTCATTTACCTTTAGAAAGGCCAAATTAAGGTGGCTCAAAACAGTTTCCAACACTTAGATTTTGATGAGTCGTGATAATCACTCTTTATCACTTGATGCTACAATCATGGTATCAAAAAACTGCCCAATCGTTGGTGAACACCTTGTTATCATTTTTGTGACACAATAGGTTACCATAGCAACAGTATGACCTAAAAACATCCTTAACTACAGCTTTAGGGGCTTATAATTCAAAAACGGCACGGGTGAAATTTTTTTATATTATCAACTTTTGATAAGTATAATAAGACGCAACTTTTGGCAAAGTTTAAAAAAATTCTGTCCATGGGGTTCAGAGCCACCTGAAATTCTCGAAAATTTAAGGTGGCTCTGAACCCCACTATAGTAAGGGCTGGACTGCGGAAACGATCTTACCTGCCTCATTTGACCATGAGGAGGAAAGGTCCTCTCATGAAAGTTTTGCCTTCCTACTGAAAATGTTAATATAAACCCCTGCTTATTCTACCTATGGTATCATCCCCGCATTTTCCCGAGTTGTAACAACGACGGCAAAGATTCCCTTCGCAGCCTCGTCACTAGAGACTTTTGTCTTCATCTTTCGAGAAGAGGCCCTAGGAACAAGGCTCCGTATGCAGTTGAAACTGGTCCTTCCACATATATTTCTTCTTTGGATAAAAAGACGAAAATCCTCTCACAAAGTTAATTGTTCTCTTGCTTTTATTAACTACCAAAATGTATATTGTAAATAACATATCTATAATTTAAAAGGATAAAATGTTACCTTTCAGTTCAAAAATGTTATCTTTTTACCGAACAATAACAGAAACTTGATTGTGAAATTAATAAGCAGGTCTTATGTAAATTAATAGATATATATATTTTGCTTACATAAAGGTCAAAGAAATACTTAAAGTTCAGTTGTGCCGAGATTCTTCCCTCATGTACTAAATGATTGCTTTCTTAGATAAACACAACACTTTAAAGTTTCCTGGAAGACATGTTTTGGCAGCCTCTGCTATCTTCAGTTACGTGTTAAATTGCAGAGTAGAATGTGAACAGCTGTTATTGCGGTTGAGTCTGCGGTCAGATATTCTTTTATGTAAAAAATGCATACGAACGAGGCGAAAGAGTCATAACAAGGCAGATTTGCTCAATTACTGTAACTCTCCTCGCTTGAATGTCAAACCGCTTGCAACTGCAGAAACAGCGTAGTTGGTAGAAGGGACTCTCGACCATGGCTGTACTTATCACTAAACTCATCAAAGGTTATCAATGAGAGCAAATATAGCGCTACTCAAATGACTGCGATACGTAAAGTAACTATGTGCCTGTCTTACTTTTGCCTTTGGTGCCCCCCCGCCCCCCTAGATTTATGCAAAAAAGCTTCCCTAAATTGCCAATGATCAAAAAAATCCTGTTTCCCTGTTTTTGTTTGTGATGGTGCTGGTGGTGTTTCTCGTTTGTTTGTTTACTTGTTTGTTTTGTTTCCATTTCCCTTTTTTTATCTTCAGAAGGCTAATGAAAGGGTTTTAGTTTCATTCAAGTCAATTTACGTGGTTCATTGTGTTAACTCGGTGGACCAAACCTCGGCTTATTAACGTTTAAATGAGAGCGATTGAGCAGTATTTTCATGTGGTACTGTTTATTGAGCTGTACAAAGTGTATCCAACATTTGAATGTGTGGTTGTGACAATTCAAATGAAAACTACTCAATCGGTGCCTTCATCTGGAGCTGTTCTCTTGACAGTACAAGCTTAATTTGTCTAAACGTATCATTAATATTTGATAGTTTACAGCCCTTTGGAAGAGAGGCCTATACAGTGGAAAAGAGCTTTATAGAAACGAGCCTTTTGGCTACCAAGAAAAGGACAGCACTCTTTATCAGGTCAACTCGTTTTGTGTAACTAACGGTCATATGTTACGATCGTCACAGATCTTTTCATCTATAAATAGACCTGCCATGAGCTACGAAGGTCAAAATGCAATTATTTGAAATTTTTTCTGGTTCATCTAAGAGTAAAGCCTTAGAGTTCTAAAATCGGCATCCATGTAGATAGCTGCCCTTAAGCCTCAACTTCACTATAGACTTCGTCATAACTGCCGAAGAGATAAACCGGCTTAGAGTTTGGTGACGTATCGACTTTGGTCAACTTCAGTTTCAACAAGAAATCGCAACAACTTCTTCTCCCAACTGGTTCGTTCCTTGTCGCTGTGATAATCCACAAATGTCTGTTCCCTCAGTGCCTTGGGCAGTTTCTTTTTCTTGATCCCGTCAATTCTAACGATCAGCAAGGAACCTTTGTGGGCACCCCTACTTCGGTGCAATGCCATGTCCAGCTCGCCTCTGCAGAACTTGCTGTCCATGTAGTTCTTGGACATTACTGCTAGGACTTTACGGCTTGAGTACACGCTTTCGGCCATGTTATCGACCAGGGCTCTTCCTAGCTCGAAGTCTCGGCTGTGGATGCAATACTTGAGTCGATTCCTTTCCAAGAGAGGGGTCAGGTTGCTCGTTACCCACTGGCTGTCTTTGCTGCTGAATGTCACAAAGACGTCATATTTGATCTCTCCGTCACTTGCTGCCTCTGCAAACGAAATGTGGAAGTTGTGTTTCGTATGGACAATGTTCAGCGAACCCTTTCTTCCCCACTTACATACCCACTCAACCAACTACCCACCTATCCCTACCTGATTCTTCAACCTTTAGGTCGCAGTCGTTAGGTCTCATGATGGTGCTTGGTGAGTGATCACCAGTGAACATCGTTGAACATCGTTCTATCTTTTCTTATTTGCTAGATTTAGCTGCTGACTAACCTCTCGCCCATTTTCCCCTCGTACCCATTAACATTAATACTTGTGGTCTTACTTGTTTTTCGTTACCAGGCGGTCAAATCCTGGAACGGACTTCAAAATAAATATTACACTGTCATAGATTTCAACGCCTACCGCAAATTAATTTTGTCCTAAAATAGTGCATGAATTTGTCTGCTTTCTAGTATTTCTTTCATTACTTTTAATTTGTAACATCAGGTAGCTCAAAGAAATTAGCAGCAATGCTACTCTGTAAATTTGAGGATAATTAAAGTTTATTATGGCGATGGTGACGATGTCCGTCGTACGAAGCTTGTATCTTAAATTTCTTCTAACCCTAAACTTTCTCATCGAACCTCACCCATCAAGTTCTTCTCTTGTGTCTCACTCAGTCTTCATCGTATCTCAGTGGTACCGCGTTCGCTCACTCTTACCTTTTTTCCGAATCATTCTTCTCTTCGCTCCTCCCTCGTACCTCGCTTTCTACTCTGCCTGGTATCTCGTTTTCTCCACACTGGTACTTTCCTAGTTTTACATTCGTTCCTCGCTCGTCCCTCATGCAGCTGTATCTCGCTTGTCTCGTACTTCACTCTTACCTCGCTTTTTCCTTAGTCGTACCTTGCTCGTACCTCGCTCCTACGTCTCTCGTACCTCGATCGTAGCTTATTCGTATCTCGCTCGCAGCCCGATCGTACGTCCCTCTTACCGCGATCGTACCGCTTCCGTCTCGTACTCGTAAATCCCTCGTTCCTCGATCATATCCTGCTCATATCTCACTCGCACCTTACTCGTATCCTCTTCGTACCTCGCTCGCATCTCACTTGTTCCTCAGTCGCATCAAACTACTCAAGAACATAACCGCGCTTTCCATGAAATAATATGCTTTAATGAATTATAAGCACAACTCGTTTGACTTACACACAGCTGACAACTACTTAGCCACAAGAATCTTCATTAACAGTTACTATTTAACTTAATCTACGGCTTATTGCTGTGATCGGAAAAAAGACATTCAACTGTGTCCAATGCACCCAGGAAAATGGGCGGAGAAATTTTCACAGCGATTAGTCAATCACATATGCTTATGATGTCTAGTTTTAGACTTGCTTTAGAAATTATATTTAAACATTTTTTTCTTCACGTTAGGGGGTCATTTTCGGTCAGTTAGCATTACGTATTACGGATGATTAATCAGCAAACCTTCAGGTTTCCATTCATGTCTTTTTTTCAGCAACTTTCGAATGAACACCACTGCAGTCAAGGCCAACAATAATCCTCCAGCCAGAACAGGAAAAAGAATAATTAACACAGTTGAGTCGTTTTCTTCCGTGTCCCCAGATGAATAGTCTATGGAAAGAAAAAAAAGATCATATGAGAAAAATCAACCCCTCTCTCCTCCGAGGGGGGCTCGAAGGGGTTTTTACGGGTGGGGAGAACCCGCTGAACGATATGAGTGAAGGCGCAGGGTTCGATCGATCCATTCGACTTGACGCCTACACTCATCTCGCACAGTGACTTTTAAAAACGAACGTTTCGAACCTCTGCAGATGCGGAGAAGAGAGAATTTTATTGTATAATTACGTTATAAACTTACGTCGTAAAATCCACGTTGCCAGTTTTTGAAATACACCAGAAACAAAGAATAGAAATAGTACTCAGAGTGACTTAGGAATAAAAGAATTCAAACCACCAGTAAAACAAAAACGAACACAAAAAAGTAGGAATTGAAAAGAAAGAGATAAATCGAACTGCTTTAGCTGTTCCTTTAGAGTTGGATTCTCCCATTCAGTGTACAACGCCTCCTTTGTCTTCATTAGAAAACTAGAGGCGAATGTAAGATAATTGTGCTATATAAACTATTTATTCTTTATGGTTCAATAATCTATTGCTGTTTTGGGATCACTCGTGGGCTATCAACAGTCTCTATCGTTTGGCGGCTGTTGTTATTGTTGTTATTGTTTGTTTGTTTGTTTGTTTGTTTGTTTGTGACTAGGAATGAGTGATTTCTTGGTTTGTTGATCACAAACAACCACTCCATCGGAAGCAAAAAATATTTCAAAATTGTTTCAAGAGATTTGGCGTGCAATCCAGAAACTCTTTCCACGTTCGATATTACAAAACTTTTTGATACCTGAGCGGGGAGTAAGATCATGATTTGACATTGTCAGGATTTGGTAAACTAGAAAACAACAGAAAATGAATCTAAGGCGAGAAAAACTTGGAACAATAGGATTTTGGTGGTATTTTCCACGAAGACCTTTAAGACTGTGAATGTCAACGATTCCTTTTCTCGAGTTATCGACTGCAAAGGTCTCCTACAACATCATATCCTTGTGTCTCATCGAGTATTCCGAGCGCAGAAAATTACGTTTACTGATGTTGTTTCAGGCCCCAGTTGTTCGAAGGTTGGATAATGCTATCCACTAGATAAATCGCCATCCAGTGGATCAGTGTTAACAACACAAACCACGCTATCCACTGAATAGTGATTTATCCGGTGGATAGCGTTATCCACCTTTCGAACAAAAAAAAATACATAAGCCTTGTATCAAAAAACCCTCAGAAAATTAAGCATTAGTTTTAAAGGAGTTGATATTTACAACAACTTACCAAGTGATCTAAAAAATATCCAGTGTAAATCAACTTTTAAGCGAAACTTAAAAAACTATATTCTCACGAATAGTTTATAGACGTATATTCAATACCAATGTTACATAAACATGAATCTATAAATCAATGTACAGGATCTGTAAATCAAAGACCGCCAGACTTGTCATATCAGGTAGTAAAGGGAGTCTCCTAGATAAGCCTAAAAGGCTTCTGATACTTCCTGCTCAGGATTGTATTAGTTGCATTGTAGTATGAAGTGTTATAATAATAATAATCTTGTGCAGTAAGTATAAAAAACAGCACAAAAGTATAAACTGTAGATACTGCAGTAAGTATAAAAAACAACATAAAAAACAATCTAGGCCAGAAAATTAAAGATTTACTTACCCGTTTTTGATTTCATCTGAGCAAGAACGAGCGTTGCCGAAGATAATCCCATGGACGTATTCAATGCACAGGTGTAACGGCCAAAATCTGGATCGGAAACGATGCTGATCCACAAAGACATTTGTTCCTCACGTCTGAGCTCCGAGCTGTTTAACTTGTATGTCTCGGTTTTGTAGCGTGAATCTGTCTCGTTTAACTCATCGCCTTGGAACATCCAAAACGTTTCAGTTTCCAGGAATTTTGAGTACGATGTTATGCACTTGAGCTGGACTTGGGTGTTCGCCGCTGCTTGCACTGTTTCCAAGTTGGTAGAAATGTTTTGAACATTATCTGAGAGTATCAAAAATTAATCGATTAAAATCTGAAATAACAAACGTGAGAAAAAAAAAACCTTTTCTATGTCCATCTAAAAAATCGTGCACGTTTTGTCTTCGAAGACAACCTCGTTTATGTGTTAGAGTAGTATGTGACATACTCTTTAAAAAAATAGGTCTTTGTTAGTCGTATAAAGTCGTGTCAATGTAGTAAAGGTAAAACTGAGGTCCAATCATTGCGGGTTTTCATGGGAGCAGTACAGCTAATCCAAGATTTCGGCTTTCTATATCTGTACAGCCCCGCAAATGATCCCGGCCCGCAGATGATCCTCGTAACGTAAATGATCCCCAAATTGTACCGTAAATGATCCCCAAATTGTACCGCAAATGATCCCCAAATTGTACCGCAAATGATCCCCAAATTGTACCGCAAATGATCCCAGGACCGGAAATGATCCCCAGATTGTACCATAAATGATCCCGGAACCATAATGGTCGCCTCCCCATAAAATTTGGAAATGTGAGGACTCAGGAATTTGGACAGTGGATTTTAAATTTATGCAAAACCACAACCAATAGGCCACGTTCGATATATCAATATTCTAACATCGATCCGAGGCTTTCGGGTCAAAATTGCAAATTTTTTAAGTTTCTTTTGTCTTTCAAGTCCCAAAAGAGACTTGGATACAAAGAAAACACCACCAAACATAGACGTTTGTCCTGAAAGCCTCGGAGCCATGTTAGAACACTGATATATCGAACGTGGCCTATTACCGCTGGTGTTTGTGGTTTAGTTTTCTCACGCTTAATTGGCTTTTTCCTTACCACACAAAAACAGTCCTCAAATATTTCTGGTATTCACGGTTTTCTGAGTTTCACAGTAATAATACAATATTTTGACATAACGGGTGCTATATGAAACGCAAGAAAATGTGCGGTATGAACGATTTGAATGCTAATTTCACAACTTTAAAAATGATATCCAACGTTACGAAATCCTGTGTTTGAAGTTTGCAGTTTAGCTGGATCCTTCCCTGAATGACTTTATTGAGTCCGGGCCTGAGATGTATGATGACACAGTATGTTCACTTTTCATGGAGTCCACGCCATTCCTAACTTTTTGCAGTGGAATCAGTTCCGGTCTCGGGATCATTTGCGGTACAATTTGGGGATCATTTGCGGTACGGGGATCATTTGCGGGCCGAGATCATTTGCTGGGCCGTACATACCTTATATGCAAGTTAGACATGTTTCTCAAAGCATTAATAGTTCATGACTTCTAAACAAAAGAAACCATAACCGTGATGTTGTTGAAATACCTGAACTTGACTAGCGCTGAGTTTATGATTTTATTTCTCGATTTTCCTCTTAGTTTTAGCTTTGATTGAGACGGGTTTATCAAGCACTCGAAAAAGTGTTTTACCTCATCTGCAATCACCTCTAATTTCGCCAAAAACACTGCTCTCTGCGTTGTAGTTTATGGTATTTTCTCGACTATGGAAACGTGGTAAAACATAGTTTCGCGTGTTTGATATGTTACATATAACATTTGGAAAGTTTAAAAAGTCCCCCAGAAGGCTTTGGTAGCCACATCTCCATAAAAGTGCTGGTTCATATCGTAAAGATCATACGTCGTGAGTATATTATCAGTAATCTCGGGTAGAATGAGTCCAAAAATACCCGCCCGCGGTTACCTTTTTCGTCAACGATCAAAGTGATGTTATTCTTCTCCAACCACACCAACTCAAAAATGCTACATTCGTATAACCCACTGTGTCTTTCAGAAGCGTTGATAACGTCTAGCACCATAGTCATGCGGTGGTCATCAAATTTCACCGCAGTCTGCGAATAGTATGGACTGGGAATCCTTTCATCAAGTATGGTTGAATTCCCATTGAATGTCCACAGCCAAACGGCGTAATAATGGCGAACGTTAAGAATGTCGCACATTAGGGTGACGTTCGATCCGGCACTGGCGATCACGTGATGGGAATTCACAATTATCTGTGGACCTCGGGGTTTGACTGGTTGCTCTGATAAGAGAGAGAAAAGAGGCGTGAGGTGCGATTACAGGTCTAGTAGTCGTTCCAAAATTTATGTTAATCCTCTTCAGAGACATGCACTTCGAAAACGCAAAGAATCGGCCGTCACTTTTGTTAACAACGGCACACTGCTAGGCTACTCACAATCTACAACAAAATAAATAGTGGGTAGCGTACCAGAGAGCGGCATTCGTTGTAGAACGCTAGGAGATGTATACCAAATAGTAATAACTAACAGCCAGACTAGAATTGAGCAGTCAGTACAAACTGCTCAATTAGGTAAGCATGCGAGTCAACAAATGACAATAATAATTAACCGGGTTAACACTTATTTGTGTTCAGTCGCAAAGCTCGGCAAACGCAAACAATTTATATTCTTAAAAAGTCAATAAAAAAATGCAATATTTATTTAAAACGTACCAAAGGTGAAGAGATGAACGATTTGATTTGTTTTTCCAAACGCATTGCTGGCTTCGCACGTGTAGGCACCCTCGTGACTGTCATCAAATGACCTGATAATCAATATCACCTGGTTCTGCTTGGGAAGTGCTTTGAGGCTGTAATCCCCTCCGTCTTTAATTTCATCGTTCTCTTGTTTCCATTTAATCAAAGGTGGCGGCCACCCGTCAGCCTCGCAGACTATTTCCTTATCTTTGTTTCTTAAGGCACCCACCTCGTCTTCTAAAGGTTTTATTGTAGGCGCAGCTTGACGAAAGAGGAGAAAACAAAAAGGTTACACTTAACTGTTCCGAATTATTTTGTCGTTGTTGTTCACAATGAAATGATGTTTTCTCAGGTATCTATCTTGTCTGAAGGTAAAAGATTTGAAGAGCCAAAAGAAATCTTCCTATCTTGTTTTTTATTTAACTATCTGCCTAAAATCTGTGAAACACAATCGATCTCACGCAAAATCAACAGTCTGTTTTTTCGTAATTTTCACATAAACAAAAAAGACCACCTTTATAGGTCAATTTACCATGCCGAATTAAGTAAATGTGCGAATTTTATAAGAATCTGTTGCAAACTCATGAAAATATGACACCCTGGCATACATTTCTCTGTATAAATTGCCAAGCTGGGGTGCATATTTTTGTAAGGCTTCGATAAATTCTCATGAAACTGCCATATTTCGCATATTTACTGAGCTTGGCATGACAAATGGAGCGGTGAGTCTATCTTTTTTGTCTGAATGAAAAATTCGGAAAACGTGACATCGGGTTAAAATTTTCATTTGGGTTCCATAGCATATGGCATTTGCGCCGGCATTTAAAAGATCTCGTTGAAGCCTGAATCTTTAACGCTTTCTTTAAGTAGCTCAGACTCCACGATATAAATTCAATAAGTTCTTCTTTTGGAAACAAAAGAGCAGATTTTGATTAATGTAGCCGGCTTTTGGCGTCATGAAAAACTTCAAATACTAAGCTGTTGTTTCCTCGCTATCTACTTATAGCAAGCAAATAAGCCATGGATTAGGAATAAATTTCTTAACAAACGCAATTGAAGTAAACTGCAAAATTATTGGAAATAATGGTCTCAGTAGTCTTAACATTGTCCAGAAATTTGTTCCATATTGCATACTTGTTTCCCAATAATGTAATTTAGTGAAGAAAATTACATTGTGTCCAGCTGCTTTTAACTTACTCTCTTAAGTAGCTAGTTCCGTTTTTAATTGTGATTTCAGTAAAGGGTTTGGCTTCTTTATTACAAACTAAGCAACTTCATCTTAATCCTACAGTAAGGAGCTCAAGCAGACAACCACGATAATGCCGGCAAAACGTCGCCTTTTTTTTTTTTTTTTTTTTTTTGTAATAACCAAAACAATAGCCCTGTAAGTGCGCTTGAAAAAAGCAATATATTTCTTAGGCAACTTCTGTAAAAGAGCATAGCAAAATTCACAAATTCCGCGTATCACTTTTGAAAGCGTAAATTGTCTATTTTACAAGTAAAATTTAAATTCCACTTCTTTTTTTTTTTCGCTAATCGTTTTCTTTTGCGTCGCATTTTCAATGCTTTAAGCCCCTTAATGTTAAACTCGGTAAGATAAAACTGCAGGAAAATCTTATTTATTCGGTCAGGCCGATGTAATTTCAAGGTTTATTTCCCTGCATCCTGAGTCCCAGTGATCATTAGAATTGTTTTTACCGTTGATATGAAGATCTATAAAATCCGTGTGCTTGACTTGTCTTTTCCACACCGTGCAATTGTATCTTCCAGCGTCGCTCTTAGTGACATTCAACAGCGATATCTCTGCCAACTGTGACGAGTTGGAATAAATGTTAGCGCTGACTGGCTGATCATCTTTATACCAAAGAATGACGTCAGCAGGGTCGCCATGTTCCACCAGGCAGGTCAAGGTCACGTTGTCTCCCGGATTAAAACTTTTGTTCAGCGGATGTACATCTATCCTTACCGAGATGGCATCCGCCAGACAAGATCCTGGAAAAAGCAGGACATTTTAATCCTGTATTGTGTTTGATTATCTCAAAAAAAAGGGACTATTTAATTTCAAGTTTGAGTCAGTAGAATTTGATAGGAATTAGTGTCAGCTTTATTTACATTTTATATGCTTAAATGTCTGGTTGTCTCGCACAAGGTACTCCAACCAATCAGTTTGCTATACGTCATAAGGTACGACACCAAAGCCAATCGCGATTTAGCAACATACGTCACTTTTCCCGCGCTTGCCCCTGCCGCTACGTGTTTTCCCCCGCTGGCCCGAAGACCAAGTGTTAAGATGTTTTTGCTAAATTCTCTCACTTGTATTTTGTGTCTCTTTTTCTCCTTAAGAGGAGTTAAAGCATACTTCCTGCCAAATCTCGAGACCAGGAGCAATAAAAACGTCTGAGGCTCTTTCTGATTAAATTTAGACTGAGCTTAATTATTTGGATTTGTCAAGTTGCTGCTGTACTATGTGTCATTGGTATAAATCTACTAGCGTTCTATCACTGATGCCGTTCTCTGATTCGCTACGCTACTCACTATCTTTTCTGTGATAGATAGTGAGTAGCGCAGCAGTGTTCTCTTGTTAACAAATTGACGGCCGCTTCTTGGCGTTTTCGGAGTGTCTGTGAAGAGGATTTGGATGAAGTTTTGAACGACTAGTAGATTTATACTATAAGAATCGGAGAAAATATAGTGGGAACTATAATCTGTGATAGATATTGAGTAGCGTAGCAGTGTGCCCTTGTTAACAAAACGACAGCCGCTTCTTGGCGTTTTCGAAGAGTCTGTGAAGAGGATTTAGATAAAGTCTTGAACGACTAGTAGATTTATGCTAACACAATTAGATTATTCGCTCTCGATTTCTATGCGTGATAGTCGGTTAACTACCGCGCGATAGAAATCTTGAGCTCATAATCTTTTTGCCTTATAGAGGAACGTCGTTCTATAAGAAAGCGGTTGTTCATTTTAAAGAATTCACAGTACTTTTTTGTTCTTTTTGTTTATTTCTTGCAGAAGTGAGTATCAGGCACTTTATTTTAAGCTGGAAAAGGAATAATTAGCAAATGGATCTTACTCTTTTAAGTCAGGAGATCTAATCTTTAGTAAATGGATGAATAATAACCGAGAATCCAAACGCCCGTGATCACGGACAAGAAGCTCTTAATACAGGATATAGCGTTCTATGGTAAAAAGTACTAAAAAACATAGGCTTTCGACAGCCGGTCTACTGTCTTCGACGGATAAAAATTTGTGATAAAATGTCGAAAGCTTATGTTTTTAAAATACTTTTTACCAGAGAACGCTATATCCTATATTATCATGATCAATCATGGAACGGATCCGCGATATTTTTAAGAAGGTTTTAATTTTCCCGAAAAGTGTTTGATGTAACCCCTGATACAAGTGTGAAAATGCTTTTTCTGAAGTAAAAACTGCTCAAACAGCATTAAACGCGACTCAACAAAGATGTTTCGACGTTTAAGGAGTATCTGCAATATTCCTTGTTGCTCATTTTGTAGCAGCACAAAATTGATGATACAAACTTCAAATAAAACAACACTTGTTTTCAAAGTTATTATACCGTCGATGCCTTTGAAACAGTGAAAGCTGACGAAAAACATACGTGCTGCGTCGTCCGGTCTTGCATATTAATTCATGCAATGTTGTTTAGATTACGCTTAGGTGCATATGCAAAAAAGTGTTTTCTGTTTTGGATATAATAATGAGCTTTAAAACAGCCCAAATTATTGTGTCCTTGTTTCTGACGTCATCGTTTTGATTTTTATTCTGATTGTACTATTATATAATTTTCTTGTTTAAAAACTCAAGCACGTCATTGGTCAGGCGAACTTTAAATTGTTTGTTTTGTTTTAGCTAAAAAGGCCCCGAGGGCATGTTCTTCCTATCTCAATTTTTGACTGATATTAAGTAGCTTTCTAACTCCAAAAATAAAATTGTCTCCCGGCAAGATTTTCATTTCTTACGTACATATACATTCGTACGTTTTTAAATTTGGCCTTCGGGAAAGTGTGTTTCTTTTCGGCCATAACCCGGGGCAGTTAACATACTAAGGTTATATCACACTGGATGCAAAAGAAAATACATATGGAAATCAAAAAGAATTTGCATTTTTCACGCTACACTTAGTTTGCAAATTTAGAAATTATGTGATTTTATAAGTTTCAATTTGCCAATGATTTCAAGTTTTATTTGTTTGAAGCCATAGTAATCCAAGATATGCATATGCATCGACTTCTTTGCTCGCTCAACATTAAAGTTAAAGAGTGCGATTCGGCTGAGGAGGAATTGCGAAACAAAATGGGAAACTCAACGCGCAATGTTGTTTCTTTTTTTCCGTTAACTTTTAGAGTGACCAGCCATAATGAAAATCACTGTTGTCTTAAAATTGGAATTTCAAATGGCTTCCGTTTGAAGAATTCTACAAACATTGTCTAAAAGTGAATTTTAAACGGAAAATAAGGAAGGAACTTAGAGAATTAAAGATAGGAAGAAAACTCAAAACTTAGTTCTTAACAATTAAGATTACTTACTCGTGCGGCCCCGCAAGACATAACTCAGTCGATTTCGCGTTATTTTGCCGCAGCACGCACTTTTTTGGCGAAGGTAATATTTTTGGAGAGTATCAAAAAAGAAGAAAAATTGTTGGAAGCAAGAAAAAAAGAAAGAAAGAAATTCACTTGGCAGTTTAAAAAGCTTGACAAAAATATCTCACCTGTGGTAAGAACCACCGCCATTAACATCGAGGCCCAAAGAAACATTGCTTTGCTAATTTTTGTCCCACATAAACGCATCCATAAAGGCAACTGGGATTACCGCATGAGTTCATGGACTTTATAGGCTGAATAAATACCACGCGATATGCATTAAAACATCAATAACGCCTCTACAAGCGCCTTATTAGAACAAAAAAGTAAACAAATTTGACGGAGAAAAGTTTCAATAATTTAAATCCAAACACAAACAGGCGTGTCGCCAATTCTCCCGCTGATTTTGTTGGAACTGGCAATTGGCGCTCGCTTAATTGCCGCAAGACACCTGTTTCCAATAGGGATTTATCTCTGACTCAAAAGCTGAAAACTACGTTTTAATTATAGACGCAGAGGTTTATAAATACACTGTTAATTTACTCGTGTATGCACCAAAAAACAAATGAATGAAACGCTTGACGTTGTCTTATTATTCGGTATAATGCAAGGCACTTTTGCTTAATGAGTTTGGCATTGTAAACCGTTTTGTTTCGATTTCTTTTGGCAGGCAATTTTGGATTGAAAGAGATTCACCTGGTCCTACGCAAACACTTTAGCGGGATTTAGGTTTCTCGACTTACACAAAAAATCTGACGTTAAAAATCTGAATTGGCGAGAACTTTCCACGCCATTTCCAGGCCATTAAGTAACTTTTAGTGAAGCCTCAGTCAGTCAGACGCTTTCACTCAATATACGGCTGAATAAAAAAATTGTCGCACAAACATCTTGGCCAGTTTCCTCCTTTCCTTTGTGGTAGCATAAACATGGAGGTGTTTTAGCCCTAAAAGGCTGTACTGAGTACGTGACGAGATATTTATTGCCTCCTCCGTTTAGGCGAGGGACGTCTTAATTATCATCCGGGTCTTTTGTTTTGGCCGCTTCCGACTGCTTGGCCCCCCCGCAGGAGGCGATCTCGACTTTCTCGCCCTCGGTTTTGGCATTTTACAGGAAAGGAAAAAAGAAAACACAGTAGCCTTGTCTGAACGTTTTAGCGCCGAAGTCGTGACTCAAGAATCCTTTAATTTCAAACAACATCCTGTTTCCATTTGGTTGGTTACGAATGGCTTGTCAAGTAATTATTCAAACTAGTTTAACTGCAGTAGCATTTATTGTTTGTAAACTAGACTTTATTTACTACATTCAACTATTCATTCTTGTAACGAGGTTGTGAAGGCGTTGGGTGTCTTGTTGCTTCCTTCGCCTCCTAGACCTTTTTCTTTGTTCTGCGATTCGCTCTTCCAAAACAAACATTGACTAAGATACAATTTCGCGCAATATTCTTGTTCGAATACCTTTTTCTCGTACGTGATTCGCCCAGACGCGTTACACACCGTAATTATTTCGCAATTACTAGGAAGTTGTTATTAAAAATTCTAGACATAAATTTGGCGACTCTTCCGCTACTTTAGGTTCAAGTTTTTCTCAAGCGAGGCGCCTTTTCTTCGCTGAAATAACAAAACAAAAAGCACGAATAAAACGTCTTTGTGTAACAAACCACGCTCAAGAGAACATTGCGCGCTACTTTTCGGATATGTGAATATATCTGAAAGATGCCGCGCAATTTTTTCCGCTATTATTCTCTCTGGAAGAACATGCGAGCCTTGCAAGATATAAGGTATCTTTGTCTTTTTCCAATGGTCGAACTCAAGCAAGTGGAATGAGCACTAGCACCCATCAGAAACATTTATTTATTTGTTTATTTTTTTGACATTTTTAGTTTTTCATTTTATATATTTCATTTGAACAACTTCTATGGAACGTGCTCATTGTCTTATCACTCGTATGCTGCAAGAAGGGGAATATATATGTGCTCGCTCAAATGTTGTCATGGTTTTTGACGTTAATTGCAAGTAACATGTTCTCCATTTAATGGCATGAGTGAATATTTTTACTTTCGCTAGTCTAGCTGCAGCACCCTTGNTTTTTTTTTTTTAACCTCTTTATGTGATTCTTGTTGTTCAATTGTTTGCTTGTTTGCAATCATAGCCTTTTTAAAAAAATACCCTATATGCATTTGTGGTGCTGTAACGATTCATGGCGTAACCAACATCTAATGTCAGTGTAATTTCAACCCCGAAACGCTCATCGCTATTTTATCTGAGGTACAAATGCTTCAGTACAGGTTATAGGATCACTCACACTGCAAAACATTGCTGTGTATGGTTATATCTGCAGCAAAACGAAATACTGAGCACTTACTCTAAATTGAATGTGTAATTTGTTGTTGTTGTTGTTTTTGTTGTTGTTGCATGTGTTTGATGTATCTAAACAAGACAAGAAAGGATAAAGAGTAAGGATATTTATCCCCCATAGAGTCCTTTTAAGTGAGAGACGCGGTAGCCTTATGGTTATTGCGCTCGACTCCGAATCGAGCGGTCCAGGTTCGAGCCCTGGCCGGGGACATTGTGTTGTGTTCTTGGGCAAGACACTTTACTCTCACAGTGCCTCTCTCAACCCAGGTGTATAAATGGTTATGCTACAGACACCAGGATAGGGTGGCCTGATGGGGCACTTAAAGCTTGTATGTAGACTTTACCTTTACCCTTTATAGGCCTTTCAGGGAGTTTAAGCAACCACGTCGAGGACAACGTCGGTTGAAAATTGAATTATAAAACCTCCAAATCTCGGGATACACCAGTGTTATTCAATTTGTCTATTACCGTCAGAGCTATCTCAAATCTGAATGTATGAGACGGAGTTAAATTCGAAATATAAAGTTGTGGCTCACCTTTTTCAGACTATGTAAATTTGGTCATTTCATGTTGTCGTTTTTTTTTTGTTTTGTTTTGTTTTTTTCAGAGAACGGCTAAGAAGTATACCAAGATTTAGTGAAAAATGGCTCGGGAGAGAAGGGCAAGGTTTCTCGATATAAGAAAGGCCTTAAGCTTGAGACTGGTCAGGCCAGGCTCGTCCAAAAACGCTCAGTGTTGTTTCTAAAAGCAAAGGCGGAATTGTCCAGAATCCGTAAAATTCTTAGGAAGCGCATTTTTAACACTTGAGTAGTTGGAAGAAATATCGCCTTTTTTGTAAGTACTCCGTATGTGAATATATTTTTTATGTATATTCATTCACAATAACTTACAACTTCATTTATCCGAAAGGTTTTATCTTTTAGTAGATCAATATGTCTATTTCTGCTAAAGGAATATCGTTGGTTACTTGAGGCCCCGGGGGGGTTTACTCCCAGAAAAATCGGGTGGAGGTGTGCGGCCCGCTTCCCAAAACCCTGACCCTATTTATGTCCAAAATCTGCGATATTCTCTACCCTATTTATGACCTGACCAAAAATTCGAAACCCAGCGCTATTTATGACCTAACCCCTTAAATCAAAGCCCTGTTTCAGACTGCGTTATAATACGTTCCCTAGTTCAGACCAATGTTAAATTACCGTAAACGTAATTTGTGAAGGGCTTTTGTTGATTTTCTTTTCGATAATGACGAAAAAGTGGCTTCTTTTTAAAAACATACCCATATCAAGGCTAGAGTGCAAAAACCACACCCTATTTATGACCAAAATGGCCAAACTGAACTAAAATTGATATCCTATTTATGACCAAAACAGCTGAAAAGCCATACCCTTTGGGGCCGCACATACCTATATAGCCCATATAAGGGAGTACCCCCCCCCCCCCCCCCCCCCCCACCCCCCGGGCTTGAGGCTAATGAACAGATATCTAAAAGTGTTGGGGAATAAGCGTTGACAGCCAAAAAAAAAGTCTTTTTGTGCTTGAAGCTATGGCGGAATAGAGTGCATGGGGCCGAGATAACAAGTAAAGAAGTTTCTGGAATTGTTGGTAGCCTTGTTTTAAAAGTGGAGGAGGGGGCGCCTTGGGGGACAGAGAGCTGTAAATGGTTATCTTTCTCATACCCTGTGGACCACACTTATGTATTGTCACCTATCTTCTACATTTATATTAAACAATTAGATTATAAGCTCGAGATTTCTATTTAAACAATAGAGTGTTTCTGTCGAGGAACTATTGGTTAATAGTCGCCCCGCGGAAATTTTATGTTCATAAAACAAATATTTGCCCGAGAAGCGAAAAATGCTGACGCTTTCAAAAACGCTGACGTCACATCTGATTAGAAAATGACTGTTGCAGTGTTTTCTCTTAGCGTATCAGCGCTTTCGAGCGTTTTAGGGTGGACGGGTAAAATTCAGCTTGGACAGTACTAAACAAACTCACGTAGAACATCCTTTACAAACTTTTGTGGAAATCTAGTGACTGACTGAAAAGTGAAGCGCTTTTTATCAAATACTGTTACATTAACATATATTCTCAATTAGGTCGGTATTTAAGCAGAGATTACCGGACCTAAGGTGATAACTCCATCAACTTATAGTTTTAGATTTGAAGAGTTTGTATATACTTTGTTTTTAGATTTTTATTGTGGTTTTTGCTATTGTAGATTTTGTAGTCATAGTCTACAGATATTTAGTTTTAGTATAAACGACCCCATAGCAATCTATCTATCTAGGTATGGGCGCCATCTAGGCAATAAGTTTACATAGGTCTTAACGAACAAACACTCTCCAGAAATCCTCAGGAGACACTCCAACTAGGTAGTCATCACATTGCCATCTTGAGCCACCAAGAACCAGCAGCCAGTGATAGGAATATTCAACAAAAGCAGCGTGGTCGTACAACCGTTCTTGGTCTTTATGGTGTCCCCATTTGCCAACCTGATACGCATTATCAAATCCCCACCTACCGCAATCTCCTGCTGATCTCGATTTGTCGTTTTCCATTCTAACAAACAAGCCACAGGCGTCTGGCTGGACATCTGCCGGACTGCTGAAGTGCTGGACCGCAGCTTCACCAGAGCTGTTAGTGACCGTGGTCACGTGGAACGTACGTCCCTGTTGTTTACTGCAGTGAAATCTCAGTTGAGTGAAAGGCACGTGTGTTCTGAACTCTTTCATGGCGCTTTTTGAGAGAAACATCTTGTTGCTATGGTATCTGGTAATTCCTTTGTATGAGGATCGGTCGAGAAGATGAGCAGTCAATCACGACATTAGAGACAAGAAGCCAGCCTCCTGAAATCAGGTTAAGTTCATGTTAAGGTCAGGTAGAGTTAAGCGTTCATCATGTGATCAAATTAAACTCTGACAACCAGCTGGACAAAACCAGTACTCTGCTAACGGAAACAAAGAACATCAATATTGAATTTATTTTTTTACACGACGTTCATTGACTGACGTTGAAATGTTAGGAAGTTTAAGAAAACCACGAGGGCAACGGCAACGTCGCTAAAGAAAGGCTGTGCATGTGCGTTATAATTCCCGGTACATTTCTTTGCAGTCCTCTGCAAAACAACAACGTTAAATGACCAAATCCTGCGTTGTGTGGAGAAC